CCCCACAGCGACAATTTTACTTTTCTTTTGGTTAGGTTTAATTGAATTCGAAATTCGGCAGTGGTGAACCGGATGATTTGGGTTTGTTCCCCCACAACGAAATTCAGAATTGGATTCCTTTTTCTCTTGTGTGTGTTAACAAATAATATAGTTTTCAGAGGTCGATGTAATACAGTAGTGAGTATTCTGGCTTGTCACTCGAGAGACCTGAGTTTGAACCCCGACAGTAATAAGTTTAATTTTCTTTTGACAATTTTCACCGGATTTGAAATTGGATTACTTGTTCTGAATCTTCGATTGATAAAATCTAGAGCGTTAACAACGGATCACTTTTTCTAAAGACAATTGGTAAAATCTGGAGCGTTAACAAATAATTGGTAAAATCTGGAGCGTTAACAAATAATTTATCTTTTTTGAGTCGTTGTAGTATAATGGTGAGTATTTCTGCCTGTCACGCAGGTGACCCGGGTCCGATCCCCGGCAACGGCGATGTAATTAATTTTATTGCTGTAGTTTCAATGTAATTCGAAATTTGACAGCTGTGAACCTAGGTTCGATCCCCAGCAACGACGATTTTAATTTTATTTTGGTAGTTTTAACGGAACTCAAAATTGGACAACGGTGAACCTGTCATGCCGGCAGTTTGGGTTCGATCCCCAACAACGGTAGTTCGACGAAAGTCGAAACTGGATTGCTTTTCCTAAAAAGTGGTTTATGAAATCTTGTGTGTTAACAAATAATATGTTTCCAAAGGTCGTTGTAGTGGTACAGTGGTGAGTATTTCCACTTGTCACTCGAGTTATTATGTTCCAGAGGTCGTTGTAGTACAAGGGTGAGCATTCCTGCCTGCCACTCGAGTGACCTGACTTTGATCCCCGACAATAGCAAGTTTAATCTTGTTTTGACAATTTTAATCGGATTCAAAATTGGATTACTTTTTGTAACGGCGATTGTTTTGACAAGTTTACTATGTTCTTTTCATTTGACTATTTCGACCTTCACAATACAAACCTTACTAAATATAAACATATTTTGAATCACCAATATATCATATAGCAGTTAATTTCATTTATAATAAATCATAATATAATATGAGAACATTTATTATCTCTCATAGAGCATATCTAACGATGACAAAACGTCTCCAGCAAGACCATAGAAACATTTTAGACCTTCATTTTAGACTAGTCAACAGAATTTATAAGCCGATTTTCCCTAATCCTATTTTTCCTAATAAAACAAAGTCTCCACTACTATTTTTTAGTAGATTGCTACACTACAACTTCCCCTTCACAATACAAACATTACTAAATCTAAACAACATCAATACATCAATTAACATTCATATTCAGTGCAAAGTAAATCATATCATAATAAAACAACATCATATATTATCTTTTGTAAGATATACCTAACGATGAAAATATGTCTGCTGAACAACAATGGAAGTATGTTAGGCCTACATCGTAGATCGGTCTATAGAATCTAAGAACCTAGCGCTCTGATACTAACGATAATGCCCATAATTTTTTTTGCCTAAATTAGAGACGTCACTACATGCATGCCTTATTTAACATATGCGAAAATTTGAAATAAAACATTTACCATTGAAGTCATGGACTTACACAATTAATTTAAAACAAGAAAATTAAAAATAACATAGTTGTTAAGGATAGTTGACGGTTATTATAAGGAAAATATAGATATTTTCCTTGTATTACGGCTTAGCATATTTGCCTTTTTATGAAAGGCAAATATATTGTATTCATTTATTATTCTTTCTTTTTATTGTTCTTTCCATATTATTTGTAATTTACCATATTTCTCTATTCTGTACATGATTATAAATAGAGAACTTTCACTACCATTTAGGAAAGGCAAATATATTGTATTCATTTATTATTCTTTCTTTTTATTGTTCTTTCCATATTATTTGTAATTTACCATATTTCTCTATTCTGTACATGATTATAAATAGAGAACTTTCACTACCATTTAGGTATGGTGATTTCATTATAAATAGAGAACTTTCACCACCTTTTAGGTGTAGTGGTTTCAGCGAACATTTTCAGGGTTTCAGAGCCCTTTTGGTTTAACAGCCCTTTTGGTGGTATCATCTTCTTTCTTAACACTCTAATCAATATGATCACCATCAAACTTTCTTCCTCCAATTATCTTCTTTGGAAAAGCCAACTTCACCCTTTTTGAGAGTCAAGACATGATAGGCTATGTTGATGGAACTATGGTTTGATAACTCTCTAAATGTAGAGTCATATCAAGTTTTTTTGTAGTTAATATTGCACTCTTATTCACCATTTTCTCATTTATTCCCCATTTATTCTACTTAGTGAGCATGAAATCGTTTATTGCGGTCTAACATGAAAAAAATATGATTTGGCATAAATCGATGTTAATTGTATATTTAATTGAGTTATGTGGTAAAATTTCAGACATTTATGCTAAACCATGTGGGAGTAGTAAATTTGGAAACAAATAGGGGATGACATGGAAATTTTAAATCCACGTCAGCAGTCCAAGTGGGTCATTGACTACCCAATGAGAAACATCTTATTGGACAACTTATTCCTTTTCAGCCCTAAAGCCCAATGAGGAAATGGACAACTTATTCCTTTTCAGCCCTAAAGAGGAACTCATGCTCAATATAAAAGAAAAAGGAAGACCAAGAGGAGGGGCCACATTTTTTTTAGGAGTAAAAATCGAATTACACAGCAGCAGCTCTACAGCAGTGAACTGCTGTGAAACCAGAGAAGAAGAAGAAAACCCTAATCCAACAGCTGTTGACAGCAGAAGGAAAAGGAGACCGACAAGGATTGATTAGGGCAAAGAGGTCGACGTGAGAGCTCAAGAGAAGGGAACTTCCATTGACAAACGGCAACAAACCGGGATAACTCTCTATTTCCTTATTCTCTTTCCTTATTCCATCAATTTTATATGATGAAGATGCAGATTCCTCTGTTTAATTCAGTTTGTATGGAGAGCTAAACTTAATAGGGGAGGCAAGAGAGTTTTATATAGTTTAAGTATGTTGACGGTATGATTTTAGTTTATTAAAGAGTTGTTGTTAATGATTTACATGTGTGTTTAATTAGCTACTTTACATACATAGTTGTTCTCTTATTCGGGAGAAGAGAGGGAGAAATGAAATCCTCTTTAATACTCTAGTTCCATAGTAAGGAGACTTGAAGGGTAATAGAAGGGTTATGAATAATTCTTCTCCTAGAGCCTTGTTAATAGAAATTACAACGATTATGAAAATAATCACCATTCATGACCCTCGGAAGTGGGCTTGAGAATCTATTAAAATGAATTAAAATCTACCACAAAACTCAACAACTTATCTATTTAATCTCTCTTAGCCGAACCTTCCTCATTTTAGTTGATTTTCTCATCATTTTCTGTTTTCGACAGTAGTAGCACTCTGTTTTAGTTTTGTTTAAATAGTTAAAATCTCCAACACCCATTTGAATGTTACCCAAAAACTCACTTAAATTTCCAGCGATAAAATTAACCAAAAAGATATGTTCCCTGTGGAATCGATAATGTACTTATTACTTGCTACTTGTGATAGTGTATACTTGCACTTATTCTTGTGAATTTTACTTCATTTTATTATATACATCCACAAGCGATCAAGTTTTTGGCGCCGTTGCCGGAGAACCTAATTTGGTTATTTTACTTGTCATAGATTTTCGTGAGTTGGAGCCAAAAAGAAGCCGTAATAAGCAGAATTATATTTACTGCTGCAGAATTGAGGTTACTGCTGTAGAATTCTATGCATGAACCCACCTACGGGTTCGAAATTTATTTTTGAACCCGAAATAGAGAGAACCTTTAGTCGAAAGTTGAGGGAGAAACAGAAAATGGCAGAACAGAATATACAGCAAATGGCCCAACTGAATCAAGAGTTTGAAAATCCAGTGATGATGGCTAATCAAGAGAGAATTATTGCTAATGCCATTCAGTTAGCAGATGATAGAGAAAGAGCAATCCGAGCATATGCACACCCAGCTGTGGATGAGCTAAATCCGTGCATTATTAGACCTGAAATGCAAGCAACCACATTTGAGCTAAAGCCCGTGATGTTTCAAATGTTGCAAACCATTGGGCAATTTCATGGACTACCGTCAGAAGATCCCCACCTACATCTAAAGTCATTTTTGGGAGTTAGTGACTCATTTCGATTTCAAGGAGTGGATAAAGATGTGATTAGATTGAGCTTATTCCCTTATTCTTTGAGGGATGGTGCTAAATCATGGTTGAATACCTTAGCACCGAGAACAATTGATTCTTGGAATAGTCTAGCAGAGAAATTTTTGATCAAGTACTTTCCACCCACTAGAAACGCACGGTTCAGAAATGAGATTGTTGCTTTTCAACAGTTTGAAGATGAGACATTAAGCGAAGCTTGGGAAAGATTTAAGGAGATGCTTAGAAAGTGTCCTCACCATGGACTACCTCATTGTATACAAATGGAGACTTTCTACAATGGCTTGAATATTGCTACTAAACAAGTAGTTGATGCTTCCGCCAATGGTGCTATGTTGTCAAAGACATACAATGAAGCATATGAGATTTTAGAAAGAATAGCATCTAACAATTGTCAATGGGCCGATGTGAGAAGCAACCCAGGAAAGAAGACCCGAGGAGTACTTGAAGTTGATGCTTTGTCCTCTATCAACGCTCAACTAGCTTCGGTGACTAATATTTTACAAAATCTAGCGTTTGGACAAGGCACAATGATCAAAGCACCAGCCCATACAGCTGCTGTGATGACCCAGACAGCAACTGAATCTTGTGTATATTGTGGAGAGGAACACACTTTTGATCAATGTCCAAGAAATCCGGCCTCAATTTTATATGTGAGGAATCAAGCTAGTCAAGGCAACCAAAAAAACAATCCCTCCTCAAATACTTATAATCCGGGGTGGAGAAACCATCCAAACTTCTCATGGAAGGGACAAGGCTCATACAACCAATAAATGCCACCTAAAGCAAATTACCCTCCGGGTTTTGGATTACAAAATCAATTGACATATGGTTCTCAACAAGCCACCACCCAAGGGGAAGGAACTAGCCAAGCTCAACACATACCGGAAACATCGCTTGAGAGCCTAATAAAGGAATATATGGCTAAAAATGATGTTGTGATACAAAGTCAACAAGCATCATTGCGAAATTTGGAAGTTCAAGTAGGTCAATTAGCAAATGAGTTACGAAATAGACCTCTTGGTAAGCTGCCATCAGACACCGAAATGCCAAAAAGAGAAGGAATGGAACAATGTCAAGCCATAGAGTTAAGAAGTGGGAAAGAAATATCCAGCAGAGAAGAAAAAATTAAAGAACACAGTGATAGTCGCTCTCAAGAAACTGCTGATACACAGCAGAGAAAGGAGGAAGCTGTTGTGCAGGAAGAGCATAACAAAAATGATGCAGAAGCTCTTGTACAAAAAGAACACAGCAGAAATTATGCAGAAATTATGAAGCCTCCTAAAACGCAAACATCAGTCAACAGTGGACAAGAAAGTAGAATATACACACCAACACCTCCTTTTCCACAAAGAATAAAAAGAAAGAAGGAAGAAGCCCACTTTGAGAAGTTCATGGACATATTTAAGGAAATTCACATAAATATACCATTAGTTGAAGCTTTGAAGCAAATGCAAAATTATGTGAAATTCTTGAAAGATGTGCTCACCAATAGAAGAAAGTTTGAAGAATTCAAGGTGGTACCATTGAATGAAGAGTGTAGTGCAATATTGAAAAACAAGATCCCACTAAAAGAGAAAGACCCCGGTTCATTCACAATTCCAATATCAATAGGAGGGAAGAAGCTAGGTCGAGCATTATGTGATTTGGGATCAAGCATTAATCTAATGCCGCTGTCTATTTACAAAAAGTTAGGTATTGGTGAAGCTAGACCAACTACAGTCACTCTTCAACTAGCAGATCGATCTTTCACTCATCCAGAAGGAAAAATCGAAGATATCCTAATTCAAGTGGACAAGTTCATATTTCCAGCTGATTTTATCATTTTGGATTATGAAGCGGATCATGATGTGCCAACTATCTTGGGGAGACCATTTTTGAAAACTGGAAGAACATTAGTAGATGTCCACAAGGGAACCATAATGTTGAGAATGAATGATCAACAAATAGAATTTCATATGAATGACAACATGAAATATCCAGCAGTAGTAGAGGAATGCTCAGCAATTTATAAATTGGCAGAGAATCTAGCAACTGATAGTTGGAAACAGCAGCAAGAAGAAGACAGCAGCTGGAATAATGGCACTACAGGACAAGCAGAATTGGAGAAAACTGTAAGAGTTTTTGAATCACTAGAATTAGAGGAAAGTATAAATTCATCGATGAAGTTATCTATCAATGACACATTCTTGAACTACATCTTAGAAGAAGAACTATTTGATATATGGGAGATAAACTTCACGAAATTATCCCCACCCACTTCAAGATGGAGAGTTTCAAAGGGGCATCACTTCTTTGACAATGGATAAAAAAAAATTGAAAAGAGGAAGAGGGAGCTAGTTGTCACGGTCATGCTCGTCCAGGGCATGTTGCCCATGGCCGCATGCCCATGACAAGCCAAACCCTTGTCATGTCTTTTCATTCTAGTGTTTTTCCTTTTGTAATTCTAGGGCGTATGACGCCTAAAAAATATCATGTCTAGGCCTGCCAGAACTAAAATGGCCCAGAATGTACTATAGGGGATATGACTAGTCGTCAACTTCTCCCTACCCAAGGTTATATATGCTAAGCCGTTGTTGTCTTTCTCTTGCTTGCTTATATAACGTCTCTTTCTAAAATCTTTCTCTCTCCTCGTTTTCTAAAACCTTCTTTTAAAACCGAGGCTAGAGGCTCGACCGTATGTCGCTTGGCCGTAGGCGACGCAATAACAAATTGGCTTAACTCACTTGTAGCTAGAAAGTGAGTGCCGCACAATCGCTAGTCCGCTGCTTTCGAAAGCGCGATTGTGTCAAGTGGTATCAGAGCTTTGTTAGCTCCGTAACGTCATACAGACCGAGATCATGTCGACAACAAAGTCAACACCCAAAGCACAAGCCGACCGGCTTACGGTAATAGAGGAGAAAATGCTGTTCCTCAAAGAAGTCCCTGACACCTTCTGTTTCCTGGAAACACGGGTGACCGAACTGAGTGAGAAAGTCGTCCAAGTCGACGCAATAGGCAACCGCCTGGATGGGTTGCCAATCGCAGAACTGATGTTTTGAGTGACCTCGCTCGAAGAAAGAGTTGCTCCTACGAGCAGCTCAAAACCGTCTAGTAGTCCGGATAGCTCTGTCGCGCACAAAGAGGGACGTGGCGAAGAGTTCGACGTACTACAAAATACAATGATGAGTTTGTTCAATGGATTGGCTGATGAATTCAGAACAACAGTCGACGACCTCCAAGAAAGGATGGCCGCCATGAGCACTCGAATTAAAGTGACCATGAAAGCCGTGGAAGGCGTCACGGCTGGACAAACTAATGCAGGATCCAACAAACTAAGGTTCCCAGACCCCAGAGCCTTCAAAAGGAATCGGGACGCCAAAGAGTTGGAGAACTTCATCTTCGACGTCGAACAGTACTTCAAAGCCACAACGGCTTGTACTGACGATAAGAAGGTGACTGTAGCCGCGATGTATCTCATAGACGACGCCAAACTGTGGTGGCGTACGAAGGTGCAAGACATCGAGGATGGATTGTGCACCATCGACTCATGGGAGGACCTCAAGAGAGAGTTGAGGGAACAATTCCTACCCGAAAACGTAGGACATATAGCAATGGAGTAAATAATAGCCCTGAAACACACTGGAAACATACGGGACTACGTCAGACAATTCTCAACCCTGATGCTGGATATCAGGGGCACAACAGAGAAGGACAAGGTATTCTTCTTTATAAATGGGCTACAGCCATGGGCCAAAACAAAGATACATGAGAACAGGGTCCAAACCCTAGCTGCCGCAGATGCCTGCGCTGAGAGACTCGTAGACTGTGGGAACGAAGCAGGATCCCAAAGAAGAGCAACACCAGCCCCAAACAATGGGGGGAAAACATACAGACCACCAGGCCATCGAAATGGAAGTCCCAACAGACCGAGCGGATGGACGGATAGACCGCCTCAAAACAATCAAGCGGGGACATCTCGAGGGCCTTACCATCAAAAGAACCACCCGACGACGCCTTTGCAATGCATACTGTGTAAAGGCCCCCACAAGGTATCCTACTGTCCTCATCGGGCCTCTCTCACTGCACTCCAAGTGTCCATTCAAGA